ACTAAGCCAGATAGAATAGTTATAGCCTTAAATAAAGAAAAAAATGTAATAAAGAAAAATAGTTTCGCACAACTCAGAGAGTGGCCAGATGCAAAAGAAGGCAAGCATTGTGTACTTTTATAAGAGGCAATTCAACAATATTAAGCAAATCCTCTGTATTTGCCCACTGAAAGCAGTGCAGTCTGTAAAAGCGTGCTGCTTATATACCGCCCCATAGCGCTTCAAGCCCTCTCTGGATGGTTTACAAGTTAATTATGCAGGCGACACATTGCCCCCCCCCCCAAGCAAGCTGGGTACTCATTTTACCAACCTCGGAAGGATAGAAGGCTGAGTCAACCTTGAGCCGGCTACCTGGGATTGAACCCCAGATCGTGAGCACAGTTTTGTCTGTTTGTGCTTAAATGTCTGTAAGCTTTAGGAGGGAAGAATGCTCCTTTCCTACTATGAAAACTGTGAAGATTAAGCTGTATGTAGAAGTACCGTTGGCACCTTTATTGACACCACAGTGATGGCTCTTGAAGTAGAGGGCTCCCTTCCCACACTTTGGCTTACACAACTGGGACACCCAAAATTAGAAACTCAGGTACAGTAGTACAAAAATCCTCTAATTGAGATGGGGTTAATGGCAACTGCATACTGAACTATTTCCCTGTCCACTGAAATATGGTGTCCTTTTCAGCCCATGTGATATTATCATTACTGTATTATGCAAGCATCAGTATACATTAAGATTTACACGCAGTATTCATTCACCAGACAATATAATCCTGCCTCAAGAGGCTCAGAGCCAACAGTTAGGCAAGGAGAGGAAGCAAGAGAAAAACATAGAAGAATGTATGAGAGCAACTACAATTTATTTCAGCTGGGGATAATAAAAAAGGGATTAACAAAAGAGAACAATTCCTCCAGCAGTATTTACCGGTATCTTGCCTATCACCAGTGCCTGATTTTCAAGACAGAGTTGTGAACAAAATGGTGCCCTCTTGAGCAGCCACATTGTAGAGTTATTCTCACTTGAAAGTACATAACAAGAATGAAGAAGGGAACATTACACTGCAGTTACAATGCAGTGGGTAGAATTTACTGTCTGCCTCCACAATCACTTTTCTTTACATTGGTGTACATTGGTGTTTATGATAGCAGGAAAATCCTGTCAGAATTAAGCTTTATGTGATTCTACAAAGAGTTAAAAGTTAGATTTAATTAAGAAATTTGTTTATTTAGTTTCATTGTTTTGAATTATCTACAAAAATTGTTTAAATCTAAATCCTTTTACTTGAAAGTAAACATTATGGAATCTTTGATTCATTCATAACATATGTACACAATTTATTCATACAATAACTATTAGAAAGCAGATCTGATTTACATGTGAGTTAGGTATCTGGCTACAGAGCCTGAGGTTGGGAGTTCAATTCTGTACTGTGTCTCCTGTGAGTAGAGGCAGCCTGTGTGGCCTTGGGCAAGCTGCACAGGCCCAGAATGCAATCGTAGAAGGAGGAAATAGTAAACCACTTCTGAGTATTCTCTACCTAGAAAAATCTGAAAGGGGTCACCATGTCAGAATTGACTTGATGACACACAGTTCTTCTTATTTGTTAGTTACGGTATATGCTGTCAAGTTGGAACTGCCTTATAGCGATTCTAATAGGGCTTTCAAAGTAGGTCAGACATTTAGGAGTGGTTTTACTACTTCCACACTCCCAGTGAGCTTCCATGGCTCAGTGGGGATTCAAACTCAGGTCTCCAGACTCTTGGTCCATTGCTGTACTGACAACACCGCACTAGGTACCCAACCCACCTATAACCCCACTTTAAAGCAGGAGTATCAAGAAAAAAGGTCCTCAGGGCGTGTTTAAATGTCTGTACTATGGGAGCAAGGTGTAAATCACCTTGTCAGCTACTCTAGAAACAAGATGTGATTATTAGAGTGTTGGAGATCTAGGACCTTGTCTCCACAGAGTTATTTACTCATGAAATAAGACTGAACTGATCACAGACTCTCAGCCTGACTTAACTTCACAGGGTGTTGTAACAATCAAGTGGGGAGGAGATGAGCCATTTACGCTGCCTTGAATTCAGTGGAAGAATGGGAAGATATAAATTAACAAACCAACCAACCAAATGGGGGATCCACACAATAATGAACAGTATTCAGGAGGAGGAGGAGCAACAGCAGCACCAACATTTTCTGTAGGTTAGGGTCAAATGACAAATAGTTAGGAGAAACAACAAAGTCTCTTGTGCCACCTTTAAGACTAAAATGTTTTCCTTGGTATACATTTTCAGAGACTTTTGCAGGTGCAGCCCTGAGCAAGTATTAAGCGGCCACATATCACCAGTATACGGTCATAGCACTGGACTAGTGAGGTCTGCACCAGCCACAGTAAAAGACCTGTTTTGAAGAATACCTGAACCCAGAACTGGTGGTGTTCTGATCTAAGCTATCTTCTCACAGGGAGTCACTGGACAAAGAATGTCAGTGTTTGCCTTGTCTGCCTTTCTGCTAGCTCAATATACTTTTTTCCATAAGGGATTCAGTGCCTTTTCTACATGGTATTTAACTTCCTTGCTCCAATATAAATTAGTGCCAAGGCAGTACAGTAGTACTTCTCTCATCATTAAGTCTCCTGTCATTGTTCAGACAGGACTGTCCGCAGCCCCATAGTTGGAAGTGGTGTGGGTTCAGTAGCCCTTACTTCCAAGTAAAAAAGGTTCAAGTTTGGAGTCCAACATCTCAGAGCTGCCTTTGGCCAAGTGTGTCCTTGTGGGCCTGGGGGTTCAGGGTGGCTTGCGTCCCAGGGCAAGGACCTGGGGACGGCCAAAGGCACGTTCTGTTCCACTTGACAAGTCCAGAGCCTCAGATATATCACTTCCCACCTCTGATCTTTCAATTACAACTCTTAGGGGTCTAGAATTTTTCAAAGCCTGATTTTTCTTCAGTCAGGTTAAACTAGGTGATGGTTGTTGTGGGTGTTTCGGCTTCTTTGGCCTTGTTCTGAAGGTTGTTCTTCCTGACAACCTTCAGAAAACGGCCGAAGAACCCGAAAAACCCACAACAACCATCAGATCCCGCCCGTGAAAGCCTTCGAGAATACATTAAACTAGGTGACTTAGCTGGAGCTTTCTGAGAAGAGACCCTCAAGCGACCCATTCAGCCTGGATAAGTTATCTTTCGTTTAGTTAGCTCCGGAGGGAAAGAGCCAAGACTGTGAAACACAACTACGGTATCGGTAAAAGCACGTCGGAGAATTCCTATAGGTCATCTAGACCCCTTTCTCGTAATGTTCTGGTGGAGCGTTTACATTGCAGAGATTTATTTTCGGAAAACCCCGTATAAAATTTCTCCTCCCCCTCCTCCGCTTTCTCCCTAAATGGAAATTTGTTTGCAACTCCCCAGAACAAAGTCAGGTCGGCTGGCGAGTTCAGAAGCATCCTCCCTCCCCCCGCCCCCATTCCAAAGGAAAGGAAGAAATACAGTAAGAGTATTGAGAGGAGGGAGGGGGGGAAGAGACAGCAGCCGGCTCGGGGCTCCGCTAGCCAGGCCTGTGGGATCACCGAGATGGAGGCCTGGCTCGGCTCGGCTTATGCGTTGCATTGCCCTGGTTCGCAGGCGGCTACATCCAATCGCTCGGCTCTCTGCTGAGCCTGCCTAGGCTGACAATGAATGGCTGCTGCTAGTGCTGCTTGGAGGGCTAGGGGAGCAGAGCCCCTCCGTTGAGCGAGATCTTCCCTCCTCCCCCCCTTCTCTCTTCGCACAGGTGAGGGCTACGTCGCGTCCCCCCCCGGTTCAAGGAACGGAACCCCCTCCATGGACCCCGTTCCCGCGGGCGGGGGGGTACGGCACCACTCCACCACCTTGCCCCCCCTTCTCCCAGTGCACGCACCCCTCCCCCATTAGTCTGGATGCTTAAACTTTCCTCTTCCCTGATCAAGCAGTTCCCCCCAAACCTGCCTGAACCTCGAAAGCGGGAGAGGGCGGAGAGCTGCCTTAATCAGAGCAGCTCCTGCCCGGCGCCCCCTTTTCCCCCCCGGTAGGAGAGGCCACCCTTTCGCTGCCCTCTCGCCGACACCCCCCACCCCCAACCAGGTGCCTCACCCTCGCTGCCCTCTTCCCCGGTTCCCTCTCCAAGGGAGTCCTTCCTCCGGAGCGCCCTGGTGCGTTTCAGGGGTGTGGAGGGGCAAGGGAGGCAGAAGCTGCTGCTCCTCCGGCTAGGCCTCCGTGCAGTCTACGACTCTTCCTTTCCTCCCCCCCCAAAAAATAAACTGCCCCATAAAGAATGGGGTGGTGGTGAATTAAGCCCCCCCCTCCCCGCTCCAGGCCTCTTTAGCCTTTCTCCTCTCCTGCCCCACTCTTTGAGCAAATAACATGGAGAGGCACTCGCTGCTGCTGCTGCCGCTGCTGCGCCCTCTCCGGGTTGCGCCTCTGCGCGAGATGGCCGGGAGGGCGCGGGCTTCCAACGGTTTGCAGGCCTGTCCGAAATTCCCCCCCCCC